AGGCCCCTTCCCCGGCTGCGCTTCCTGGCACCGCCGCTGCGCCCACTCCCGCAGCCCCACGGCAAACCCCGTCCCGTGGCCAGCGCGAGCCCAACCTGGAGCAGCAGAAGGTCGTTTTCCAGCGTCCGTGGGTCGTAGCTGGGGTGGGGACAGGCCACCCGGATGGGGAAGGTCTGCGTGGCCACCCCGCGCTCCCGCAGGTTGTGCAGCCCTACCACCACCGTCCTGGTGGGCCCCATCCTGCCCCGCAGCGGGACCCGGCGTCGGTGGGAGCCCGGTGCCAGCCACACCGAGCCCCCTCCCTGCCACGAGCCCCCCGTCCCGCACCGGGCAGGATGTCACCGCTGCGGACTCACCCCCGGAGGCAGTGGGCGGCTGTCAGCACCCAGCGTGGGTGCAGCAATGCTCCCCCGCAGGCATGGACCCCCCCGAACTGGACAGACACCATGTAGGGCCTGGAGTGGGGTTTGGCCTCGTGTCCCCCGATGACCGACGGCCGGAGCCAGCCCCGCGCTGCCGGGGAGAGCAGAGTCCATCCCCAGTCCTGCCGCCGTATCGGCCACCCCACCAAGAGGGAAAGGCTGGGGCTCCCCCCCCAGCACCCCCATCCCTGTGAGCCGGCTGCCATGCGGCCAACGATGCCAAGAGCCCACTGGCCACCCCTGACCCACCGCCCCAGCACTCACCGGGCCCGGCCAAAAGGAGGGTGAGCAGCAGCAGCAGCCCCGGGCTGCCCCTCACCCCCATCCCGTGCCTGCCTGCTCCTCGGCCCACGGTAAAAGCCAAGCGGGGCGGCAGCGGGACACGGACCCCCCGCTCAGGGAGGGCAGGAAGGGGAAGAGGCACCCACAGGGTGACGCCTGCGAGAGTGGAAAACCACTCACAGCCACCCCGGTGCTCCCTGAGGTTTTACTTTTGACTTCAGCCCCACCTCGCCGAGCGGAATGGGGGCGCATGGACAGAAAGTCACATCTTCAGTTCTCCGAGAAAGGTTTTTAATCAGATTTGTGCCAACCCCCTGCGCGGGGGCGATACGTGCTAACCACCTTTATTAGCAGCACAGCACAACTCTGCTATCGCTGCGGGGCTGCAAAACCATCCCCAGACACCCCGGTCCCTGAGCTCTTGGCTGCGGAGGATGGCGCAGGCCTGGCTTTGTGGGTTGGCCGCAGGCTGGCCACGAGCCGATCAAAGAAGAACTCGGTCTGATACTCCAGCTCGGTGAGGTGCTGCAGGAAGGCAGGCACCTTGTCCTTCGTCACACCCACACACACGGGGATCATCTTGGTCCCGCAGCAGTGGATGATGTGACACAGGTTCCACTGGGAGACGCGCTGGCACCACGGGTCGTGCAGGGACTTTGCGGAGAGGAGGAGGATGGCCACCCGGCTGGCCTTGATGACCTCGATGGCGGTCAGGATGACAGATGTCCCGGCCACTTGGTCTTGGTGCTCTGCGTAGCCCCGAAAACCCTCTTTCGTCAAGTGTTCCGAGATGTGGGAGGCGATGTGGTCGTCCTCGGGGCAGTACCAGATGGAAAAGTCGTAAGTGAAGCCGTGGCGTGAGGGCGCAGACATGTCACCCGCCAGGGACGAGGGCATCAAGTTCATGGGCAGCAGGGACCAAAGTGGGGGGGTCTGAGCCTTTCCTCCGGCACCGGGAACCCACCGCCACGCCCAGACACCCCCTCGCCGGCACCGGGTCCTGCCGCTCCCCAGGGAAAGGTTTCACTGCTGAGGCGGCCCAGCCCTGGCCCTCACGCGCCGGCAACGCCGGATCCTTCCGTAAATCGAACGCGATCGGTTCTATCCCCGACTTGGGGAGGTGAAACCGCAACCGCGGGGTGTCCCGAGGCACCTGCTGCAGTCCAGGAGCCCCGTGAGCTCGGTCACGGGCGGGGCGGGGCTGCGGCCTCAGCACGCCTTCTGCCTCATGTCAGCGATGCCGCGTTCCAGCGCCGCCCCTGCCCGCTGCAGCTCCTCCCGCCGCTCCCGCAGCCGCTCCCGGGACTCCTGCAGCCGCAGGTTCATCTCCACGTAGGAGCGGCTCTGCCCGTACAGCCGCTCCCTCTCCTCTGCAGCGGGGCCTGGTGGGGTGGAGCAGGGGCCGGGGGGGGCTCAGCAGGGGCTGGTGGAGCCCTTCCCGCTGCTCTCCCCCACCCCGGGGGACTCACCTGG